GCCGCAAAGCGACCCCCACCCTGGCAACGGCCGCCAGCGGCACCCGGCCGAACCGTCGCGAAGGAAAGCCGAGTGGCTGTGCTGCTGCCGCACAAGTGTCGTAAAGCGCGGGCCCCGAAGGCGTCCTTCGCGCGCCTGCGCAGGACCCTCTTGCCATAGAGCCCGCGGAGGACAAGGTGACCAGAGGGTCTTGGGACGGCGCCCCTCCTAGAATGAGCCAATAGGAAAGGAGAAAAGGGGCGCGCGGGGAAAAGAGGCCCGGCGTGGCCGCTGCTCCCAAAGTGATGGTGTTCCGAGGCTGCAAAAGTTTCTCGGGTCTTAACGTGGGGGTTTTCCCGCTGTCCTCTCCGCTTCGTGAACGGGTTGCAAATGCCGCTGGCGGGTGTGGCTGCTCCGCTAGGCAGTGCCCTGCTCAGCGCGGAGCGGGAGCCGGAGCCGGGCGTCCGGCCCTGCCGCCAGTTACCTGTGTGACCTTGAGCAAATCTCCCCTCCTCTCAAGAGCCTCAGTCACCCCTCTGAAAATGGGTGGTTTCTGAGTTTGAACCTGGACGGTATTTCCAAGTTAGGCACCCCTGATCCCCAAGTCCGGAGTAAGGCTAAGAAGTGTGTTGCACCATCATCTTTCTCCCTGCAGTGCTCCCCAGACCCTGCAGAGTCTTTAACACGACTCTCCACTGTTTCTTGCGTTTCCTCTGGGATGAATCACAGCCTGAGCTTCTGCTGCTTGCTTTCAGCCTCTCTCGTTCGTTTACCGTCCATATGGCATCTAGACGGGTTTGGGGGTGGGGGGAGTAATACCATGGTGTACCCCCCCACCCCCAGTGTCTTAGGAGGAAAGCTAAGCTATTTTTGATGACCTCAAAGATGAGATAGTCTAGACCGGACCCTCCCTCCCCTAACACTATACACCCTTCCAGTCCCTCCCCTCCAAGCCCTTGGTCTTATGCCAAACTGTAGCTCTTAGTCCTTTAAAGCTCTGATTCCCCTCCTCCAAGCACAAGCTATCCCACCCCAGACCTCTTATGACCCCACTGTCAGAGTGACCCCACTTCTTTCACTGTCCCTTAGCACAGCCAACAATCACCCTGAAGATAGATACTAATATCAAATCCATTTTATAGGTGGAGACACTGAGATTTACCCAAGGTCACACTACAAGAAAAGGGGCAAAGCCGAGATTAGAATTTTCCTCATCTTTTCTTCTTTTTTTCAAGTTTTTGCCATAAGACAGGTGAGCTCACCAGAGAGAGACAGAGAGAAGGAAACTGAGAAATCTCTCCCCAGATGGGCACACTGAATCCCGTCACCTCCACCCTCTTGGGATTTTTGGCACTCAAGCACTTTAGGGACATGGTCCAGGGCTTGAACCATGGTCAGCCATGTGGGAGTCCAGCCCCTTAACCATCATGCCACCTACTAGCCCCCAAATCCAGTGCTCTTAATTTCTCCTTTACTGTCTCTGTATGTACCAGAACCCATTCTCTGGGTTAGAATTTTTTTTTTTTTTCTTTTGGTCAAGGGAGTGCAAAAACTGCAGTAATACTGAGTCATTGGAAAAGTCATGATTTTTTTTTCAATGTTTTCTTTTTTATTATTATTTAACTTTCTTTTAATGTGATCAGAGAAGGAGAAGAAGAGAGAGAGAAAAAAGTGAGAAAGCAAGCTGCCAGGTCCAGTACTCAAACCGCAGTCGGCCATGTGCGACTTAACCACCTTAACCACCATGCCCCCTGCCGGCCCCCTCTACGTTTTTTCTACCCAAAAATGCATCATGACTTTTTCGACAACCCAATAGATTTGAATTGTGGATTCAGTTCAGCTCAATCCTTTCCCAACTGTGTGACCTTAGGTAAGCGATCACCCTAAGTCTGTTCTGTTCTCTGTAAAGTGGGGATAATAACAAGTCTACCGTCTAGGATTAGAGAATAATTTGATCATGAGTATAGTGTTTGGCAGAGGGTTTGAAAGACTTTTTATAGTCACTGCATTTATTATTATTATTATTTAACTTTATTTATTTAATTTGACCAGAGAGGGATAGAGTGAGAGCGAGAGAGAGGGAAAGTGAGAAAGCAGGCCACCAGGTCCAGAACTTGAACCGTAGTCGCCCATGTGGGAGTCTAGCACCCTTGACCACCATGCCACCGGCTAGCCCCATAGTCACTCCGTTATATACACTCAGAGTGAGGCAAAGTGCCTAATGCTATCATAGGGCAGAGGGATTTTTCAGGGAATTGTGGGAGGCCTTACCCAACTGGAGCAGGCAGGAAAGGCTTCCTGGAGGAGAAGGTATCTGAACCAAGATTTGAAGTGTGAGTAGGAGATGACCAAGTGAGGGGAGATATGAAGGGAAAAGGACTTTTTTTTTTGGAAGAGATTTTTGCTGTAAGGGTGTGTGTGCTCGCCAGACAGACAGAAAGCGAGAAATCACCCCCCAGGGGAGATAACCACATGGCAATCCCTTCTCTTCCACTCTCCTCTTGGGATCTTGGGCATGCACGCACACGCGTCCTGCATGAGTTGTAAGCCTCTGTATCCAGGACTCAAACTGCAGTTGACTATGTGGGAGTCCAGTGATATAACCATTACGCCATCTGCTGGCCCCGGGAGTAGAGCATTTGAGCCAAAGGGAACAGCAGGTGCAAAGGCTCAAAAGTGGTTTTTTGGGACCAGCAGATGGCATAATGGTTACGTCACTGGACTTCCACGTGGCTAAATGCAGTTCGAATCCAGGGCCTGATGACTTAAAACTCACGCCAGGTGTGTGTGCATGTGTACCCAAGGTCCTGGGAGGAGAATGGAGGAGCAGGGCTTGTGGGGATTGATTTCCCCCAGAGGGATGGCCAGTGATTTCTCACTGTCTATCTCTCTGGTGAGCACATACGCCCCTGTGGAACACAGAAGGGGTCTGCGGGTGACGTGCAGATATTTGACAGGCACCCACCCACACGTGAATCTGGAGACACAATCTGCCTCTTTCACACGCATGCTCACTTAAGTACAGAGGATTGTATCACAGAGACTCACACTGGGACCCAGAGTCACAGAATGAACTAGTCTCACACATACACATGGAATCACGACCTCTCTCCCGCACACGCACATACACACCAGAGTCACAATGCCTCCCACGCGTGGGAACACCAAACCGCACGGCATCCAGAAGCACACACAAGACAGAGCCATTTCACCCAGATCCTAACACACAGGTAGAAGGACGTGTTCATAGAATTATGGCACATGACCCACAGTAGACACAGAATGGCATCACCAGCGGACACACAACCCACGGAGGAACACAGGACCTCATGCACACACGCAGTCGGGAGGTCACATGGACATTCGGCCATCCAGGGCGGGGACACTCCTTGGCGCGACTTCACAGATGAGTCACACACAGAAATCGGTGCCTACCAAGGCCAGGTTTTTATGTGCTGTAGAGGTTCATGGGTTTCGGAGCCAGCATGGCTGATCCAGTCCCTTCCCCGCCCCTAGTCCAGTACAGTGAACGCCATCAAGGACCCGCGTTACCCACTGAGGGAGGCATCAGGTCCTTTCTCTGCCCCACCCCATAGCACCAATCTGGACAGGCGACTCCCTGACGAAGCAGAGTGAGCAGCGCCTTCTGAAATGAGGGTGAGTGGGACTGAGAGCGGGAGGCCTTCTCCTGTGGGAGACCAAGAGTAGCACCATTGTAGAGAGGCAGCTGAGGAGCAAAGAGTCACAGAAACGGTGGCAGGGAGCAGAGCAGTCTGGCCTCTCTCCCCGCCTGCAATATGTGGTAGGCTGTGCGTGTGCCTGTGCGGCTGGAGAAGTCTCCTGGATTGGAACCTCCCGGGGGTGAGGGAGTCCCTGGTCTCCCAGACACCTGGGAGAAAGTCAAGGTAAGTGAATGTCTGAGGGCTGGGGTGGGGAGTGCACATGGCTGGAGGGGCACGAAGGCCATGAGGAGGGGGCAGAGGAAGGGAGCAGGGCTGGGAAGACTTAAGGCTGAAGGTAGGAGCTGTGCGAGTTCAGTAGGGTGGGAAGCCCAGAACAAGGTTAGGAGGCAAGGCCTGGAATGAGGGAGTCAAGAGTCGTAGATTCAAAACCAGAGGAATCTACAGGGTGAAGTCTAGATTCTAGAACTGGAAGTGTAGGGAGGCTGAGTTCTTGAGCCAGAGAAATTTGGATCTGAAATCAGGATCTGTAATCAAAGACCACTGGCAGCTCTAAGATCTAGAGCAAGTAAGATTTACAGAGCAAGGAGTAGAATTAGAAAAAGGCTAGAGGAGACTGTGTTCTAGAGCCAGAGGGCTTTTGGAGTTGTACAATCTAGAATCAGCAGTTGAGGGGCTATATGATCTAGAACAAGAGGAATTTTCTTTTCTTTTCTTTTGAGAGGTTTTTGCTATAGGGTGTGTGCGCTCGCCAGACAGACAGAGACAGAGAGACAGAAAGCAAGAAATCACCCCCCAGGGGGGATGGCCATTCCACAATCCCTTCTCCTTCATTCTCTTCTTGGGATCTTGGGCATGCACGCACACACGCCCGGCGTGAGTTTAAGCCACTGGTCTGGGACTCGAACTGCGGTCGACTACTCCAGCGACATAGCCATTATGCTAACTGCTGGTCCCAAGAACAAGAGGAATTTTTAAAGCAAGGTCTATAATCAGAAGATGTTTGAAGGCCGAGCTCTAGACTCAGGGTGATTTGGAGTCCTAAGATCTAGAGTAAAGGGCAGTTGGAAATGGTGAGGTCTAGAACCAAGGAAGCTTATAGGATGGGATCATGGGATCTAGAACCAGAAAGCATGTATAGCTTGGCTCTAGAACCAGAGAAATAGCAAGGCATCAGAATTGGGATCAGAGGAGCTTGGAGGTTGTAAGCTCTAGAGATTGTATGGTCTAGAACCAGTGGATGGTAGAGGCCATGAGATCAAGAACCAGAGAGAACTAGAGTGCTGTGTGGTTCTAAAAGAACTGGTGATTAAGACAAGGCAGAAAACTCACTTTACTGCCTTTTTTTTTTTTTTTTTTGAGAAAGCAAGTCTTTGGAGCGTAGGCAGGTGAAAGAAATGAGCTTGGCATCATGAGGCGTGAAACTAAATGATTTGGAAATTAGTAACTCTAGATTCGGGAAGACTAGAACCAACAAGAAGCTTGGAGCTGTGGGGTCCATGCCTAGAGGAAGTGATCAGTTATAAGATCTGGCATCAGAGGGAGTCGGAGGGTGTGAGATCTAGAACAAGAGGCTTTTATAGGGAAGTCTAGAACCAGAGAAAAAGAGTGAGTTCTAGAACCAGAGGATTCTGGAGGTAATAGACTCGTGGGCCAGAGTTAGAGCGTGTGAGGCCCAGAACCAGACAGTTTTAGAGATCACCATGTTTTTTAAAGGCAGATTGGACATCACAGGGTCTCCGACTCAAAAGAGTGGAAGCTTGTGAGAGTTGGAGCCAGAGGGTTTTGGAGGTGGCAGAAGGTGTGAGGGTCTAACCCAGATCGTGGTAGAGGCTGTGGAGTCTTGCACCCACGGAGGCCGGAGACTGTGCAGTCTGCAGTCAGCAAAGGTCAGGGTTCGTACGGTCTGTAACCAGGGGAGGTTGGAGGCCGTATGGCCTGGAAGTAGAGGGAGGTGGAGGTTGCCCCGAAACAGGAGGCCTCAAATGCAGTCAGTGTCCGGGCAAGGTTAGGGGACACGAGGAGCCCACAGTGGGAGAGCGGGCAGAGTTGGGTGGCAGCCTGAGAGGCTGTGGCCTCAATCAGAAGTCGTGAGGGTGAGGTCTGGTCCAGAACCTCCCCACCAATGACACCTGAGCGGGGGGAGAACAGAGTCCCACACTCACGCGGACCCCAGGCGAGTCATAGTGATTAAAAACATACCACGAAAATAGCAACAATAGCGATGGTACAGAAGGACAGGAAAACGCGATTACAGACATCAGTACTCCCAGAGCCCAGAGACACAGGCCTGATCCCACCCTCCCCACCCCTCACTCCCCAAAATAAAGCCAAGAGAGTTGGAGACAGGAATACGAGGTAACCAAGTGTCAAGAACCCCAAGGGAAGTCCTGAGAGGAGGAGGGGGCTGGGAACCCCCTCCCAGAGGTCGCTGAGCTGAAAGCACCCCACAGAGGCCCCGGAATGGGAGCGGGGGTAGGGGCTGAGGTAGGCCCGAGGTGGGCAGGGGGCGCTCGGAGGAGAGAGAGCCCTCTCCGGGCGCCCCGTCCTGTGCGTTGGCTGCCGGCTTGGAGTGTGGCTGAGGTCCTTTCTGGGGGAAGAGAAGGGACACGGGAAGGGGGGCTGGCTCAGTTGGCCTGGGCCACGCCTGCCGCTGGCTGGACACGGCTTCGGGGCCGGGCAGCATCCTCGTCCAGGTAGAGAGGGAGCAGCGAGGGGCCAAGGCCTGTGGGGGAAAAGGAAGGGTAAACTGGCTGAGAAATACCACCCCAAGCGGTCTCCCCTTCCGGGGTGGTGAGGCCAGCGCGCCTGCATTCCGAGGGCTGGGAAGTCCGGGGCTAACTCCGCTCCCGGAGTCTCCCTGCGGTGTGTGACACCGTGGTCCAGAGCCGCAGTTCAGAGCCAGACACTGAATCCCGGCTCTGCCCTTTGCTTGCCGTGCGACCTGGGGCAGGTGTCTGTGAGCCTGTGCCTCAGGCTCCCCTCTGTAAAATGGGCTGAAACAGTCCCTCCCCCTAGGACCGCTGTGAGGAGAAGTGAGTCCGTGTACAGCGCTGGGAACAGCCACGAGTGCTGGTGAGCTCAGGAGTGAGCTGTGGTTACCCACGGACTCACCCCAACCTCGTCCACGGGGATTTACTCATTCAAAACCTAGGTACTGAGGGACCGGCAGATGGTGTAATGGTTACATTGCTGGTTCAAGTCCTGGACCTGGGGGCTTAAAACTCACGCCGGGCGTGTGTTCGTGTGTGCCCAAGATCCCGGGAGGAGAAGGGATTGCGGCATGGCCATCCCCCCTCCCCCAAAGGGGGGGGGGGATTTCTCACTTTTTGTCTCTGTCTCTCTACTGAGCTCACATGCCCTATAGCAAAAAAAACAAAACAAAACAAACAAACAAAAAACAAAACTAAAATCCTGGACTGGCCCTGTGGCCTGGTAGTTGACAATCAGATGCCACAGAGCCAATCATGCAGTTTGAATCCTGGACCCAGCAGCTTGAAAAACACACCAAGGATGTGTGGAGATGAGCCCCAAACCCAGGTGGGACCACGCCCCATCAGCAGGTGCTTTCTCCTTCATCTCTCTCCAGAGGGGGCACTCATCTTCTGGCAATTAACAAAACAAAATAAAAACCTTCACCCAGAGCGTCCCCTTGCCTTGCGCCCACCCCATCCCCTGCAGACTGATGCGTGCCCTCCGTTTCCTGGGCTTGCTCCTCAGTGACGTCTTTCTCCCTCTCGAGAACGTCAGCTCCCCCAGGCGGGGCTTTCCGCGCGTTCTGTTCTCAGGGCTCTCAGCACCAGGACAGGGCGTGACAGGACAGGACGCTGTCATTCCCCACATGTTTGCTTCACGTATGAAGGTGGGAACAAATCAAAGGACAGTGACTGTGGCTGGAAAGGAGGGCGTGAAGCAGAGTGCTCTAAGATCAGGCAGTCGTCAGATCCTACAGGGACCTGAGTCCCACATGAGGAGGCTGATCTTTCCCTGGAGGGTACTAGGGAGCCACGGAAGGGTGTGGAGCAGAGGAGGACCAGGGTTAGATTCGTGCTTTGGGAAAAATCTCTCTAGATGATGTCTGGAGGTTTCAAATGGGGACATGCTTTTTTTGATTGAATGAATGAATTAGTTTGTTTATTTATCTATTTATTATTTGCTATAGGGCACAAGCGCTCACCAGAGAAAGTGAGAAAGCAAGCTGCCAGGTCTGGGACTTGAACTGTGGTCGGCTATGTGGGAGTCCAGGGCCTTAACCCCCATGTCATCTGCTGGCCCCAAGGGGCCACGCTTTTGATAGTTGCACTGAAAGATGCTAATATCGGGGGTCTTCAAACAGTTCATGGAAGGAGACAGCAAGTGGGGTAGTGGGGAAGCTACTAGACTCCCACGTGGCCAACTGAGGTTTGAGCCCCAGACCTGGTGGCTTGGAACGCATGCTGAATGTATGTGCGTGCACGCCCCAAATCCCAGGAGAATGGAGGAGAAGGGATCGCAGCATGTCTGTCCCCCAGAGGGGTGATTTCTGACTTTCTGTCTGTCTTTCTCTCTGGTGAACACATGCACTCTATAGCAAAAATCTCCCCCAAAAAAGTTCATAAGGGACTAGCAGGTGGTGTAATGATTGTCACTGGACTCCCACATAGTCGACCCCAGTTCGAGTCCTGGACCCGGTGGCTTAAAACTCCTGCTGGGTGCATGTGTGCATGTGCCCAAAATTTCAAGAGGAGAACAGAGGAGAAGAGACTGTGGCGTGGCCACCCCCCTGGGGGCGATTTCTCACTTTCTGTCTCTCTGGCAAGATTCTCTTTAAAAAAAAAGTTCACACAAATGCTTATTATAAAAAGACTGCATAGATTTTTTTCTTTCCACCAAACTAAACTCTTACTTTAATTCAATTCGTCCATGAACCTTCTGAAGTCCACTTGTACTAACCTGAACACAAGCAGCAGCTTGTCTCGTGCTCTGTGGAGGGGCCACGGGAGCCAGGACACCACCCGGCCCCAAGGTGGACGTCTCCCGAGCGCTCACTACATAACAGGTCTGTGCAAAGCTCTCCATGCAGCATCTCCAGGAGCCCTCAAAAGCCCTCCTTCAGGTAAGAACTACTACAATAGCCCCATCAACAGAGGGGGAAACAGGCCTCAGCAGCACGAGCTTTTGCAGTGCCGCGTGGCTGACATGGCCAGGGCGTGACACAGGCCCAGCTCGCTCAGGCCGCAAAGCCTAATCACGTTCAGACTCGGGAAACCTGGGCTCTGGCCTGGGTTTGGCTTCCACCCCAAGGGGCAGCCTCGGCAGGCCCTGCCTCCCTGAGGGTCCCTCTTTAACCCCACAGTGCCCATGAGAGGAGGAGGGGCCACCTGTTTCCACCAAAGTCACCTCTGGGCGTTGACCGTCCCCTGCCACCCTTGGGATGGCTTTATCCCTCTCTCAGCCATCCAGGGCACCTCCTGGGGGGAAGTAGGACCCAGAACCTCTTACCCAGCTGGCTGCTCACCCAGGGGCTCACCTAGGTCCAGGAGGGGGATTCTGGGGTTCTGCTGGCTCACCAGGGCTGGCCTTCCTGTCAGAAGGAAGCTCTGTGGGAGAGACAAGACCCCCCACCACCATCAGCATCAATACGCAGGGAAGGGAGGGAGAAGGGCCCCGCGGTAAAATGCAACACTCCGCAAGCCTGGCCATCCGGGAGGGCTCTGGGGTCACATCAGGCACACGCGTGGCCTGATCGGGGCTGGCCGAGGCTGGGGTGGAGGGCGGGGTCAAGACCCCGTGGGGCGGTCTCTCACTCACGGAAAGAAATCAGTAAACTTGAAAAAAAAAAAAAAAAAAAAAAGCACAACCCTGGAGTCAAGAGGGTGCAGGGATTAAGGACATCATGGGGGGGGAGGGTGGTCAGCAGGTGGCATGGTGGTTAAGACACTGGACACTCCCATATGGCCAACCACGGTTCGAGTGCCTGACCCGGTGGCTTGCTTTCTCGCTTTCCCTTTCTCTCTGTGTGTGTCTCTTGTCAAATTAAAATAAAATGAATGATGGGACCAGCAGTTGGCATAATGGTTATGTCACTGGACTCCCATGTAGTTGACCATGGTTCCAGTCCCAGACCTGGTGGCTTAAATTCACACTGGGTGCATGTGCATGCGTGCCCAAGATCCCAAGAGGAGAATGGAGGAGAAGGGATTGCGGTGTGGCCATCTCCCCTGGGGGGTGATTTCTCGCTTTCTGTCTCTCTGTCTCTCTCTTTCTGGCGAGCGCACACACCCTATAGCCAAAACCTCTCCAAAAATAAATAAAATGAATGAATAAATAAAATCAGATAATTTTTTTTTTTTTAAAGGGCATCGTGGGACCAGCAGTTAGCGTAATGGCTATGTCGCTGGACTCCCATGTACTCGACCGCAGTTCGCGTCCCGGACCCGGTGGCTTAAAACTCATGCCAGGCGCATGTGCGTGCGTGCCCAAGATCCCGAGAAGGGAATGGAGGAGAAGGGACTGCGGCGTGACCATCCCCCCTGGGGGGTGATTTCTCGCTTTCTGTCTCTCTGTCTCTGTCTGTCTGGTGAGCGCACGCGCCCTGTAGCAAAAACCTCTCCAAAAAAAGAAAAAAAAAAAAAAAGGGCATCGTGGGGGATGAGCAGCTACTTGTCAGCTGTGTGACTCTGGGCAAGTCCATGTCCCAGACATCCTCTGTATGTCCTCCCAGAGCCTCGCTCTCCCTTCTTCCTCTGCGCCCAAGGGGGTTGACGGCCTGGGGACTGTGTGGCAGTACAGTCCTGCCTGTCTGTTCCCACCGCCGGCACAGCTAACAGGAGGCACCAGCAGGTGGGAGGAGGGAGGCGTGGGGCATCTGTTCTCTGGCCGCTTGGCTGCTGTCGCTGTGGGTTGGCCATGTCCCTCTGTGGAAGGGTTTGGCCCTGATCAGGTAACCCTTCCTCTCTCCAGGGTCCGGTGGCCCCCCTGTCCTGTGGCTGCAGGCCAGGGCAGCGCCAGCTGCTGGTGTTGCTCGCCCCAGGGTGCTACGCCAGTCCTTGCCGACCTCAGTACGCTGCCCACGGCCTCGCCGGCGGCCCTCCTACTGGATACCCGCACCGTTCCACCTGAGCCTTTCTTCGATGTACGTTACTACAGTGTAATGTATATAACGGTACTTCGAGAGGGTTGTGAGGAGTAAAAAATTAATCGTGCAAGGCATTTAGTGCATTCGGTGTCTGGCACACGGTCGGCACTCGGTAAAGGTAGGCTGCTGGCATTATCCACCACATCCCTCATGTCCAAACGGCTCCTGGCAGGACCAGCAGTTGGTGTAATGGCTGTGTTGCTGGATGCTCATGTAGTCAGCCATGGTTCAAGGCCTGGACCTGGTGGCTTAAACTCACAACAGTGCCAGTGCATGTGTGTGCGTGCCCAAGATCTCAAGAGGAGAATGGAGAAGGGATTGCTGCATGGCCATCCCCCCCCCTCCGAGGGTGATTTCTCACTTTCTGTCTCTCTGTCTCTCTCTTTCTGGTGAGCACACACGCCCTATAGCAAAAACCTCTCAACGAACAAACAAACAAACAAACAAACAAACAAAAACACCTCCTGGAAAATGAGGAGCCAGGACACTCGCGTGGGCACTAGGGAGCCATAACGGTCCCAGAGGGAGGCCTGTGGGAGTTCCATGGTCCAGGCTTGCTTTTAGAAGGAATGTTCTGGTTGTCGCTGTACAGAATAGGCATGGGTGACACCGGCGGCAACGCGTGTGTCAGGAAGGGCTGGGTTTCATTTCATCCTCCTGCCAGTCCTGTGAGACAGGACCTCCACTTCCCAGTTGAGAAAATGAAGACTCAGCGTTGTAACCCCACCTGCCCAAGGCCTAGCTCGTTAGGTCCACAAGGCATACCTGGACTTAAATCCAAAACGGTTTGACTCTAGCATCTGCACTCCTGAGAAAAATGCTTAGTTAGGGGCTGGCAGGTGGCGTGGTGGTTAAGGGTGCTGGACTCCCGCATGGCTGACCCATGTTTCGAGTCCTGGGCCTGGTGGCTTGCTTTCTCACTTTCCTTTTCTATTTCTCTCACTCTGTCTCTCTCTGATCAAATTAAAATAAACAAATAAAGTTGAATCAAATAATTTTTACAAAATACTTCATTATAGGGGCCAGCAGGTGGCATAGTGGTTAAGGTGCTGGACTCCCATATCGTTGACCACGGTTTGAGTCCAGGACCCGACAGCTTGAAACTCATGCGGAGCATGTGTGCGTGCCCAAAATCCTGAGAGGAGAATGGAGAAGAAGGGATTGAGGTATGGCCTTCCCCCAGGGGAATATCTCGTTTTCTGTCTTTCTGTCTCTCTGGCAAGTGCACACACCTGATAGCAAAAATCTCTTAAAAAAAAAAAAAAAAGCTTATTTATTTCTTCCACGAGAGCCATAGAAACACATAGGCACCCCCAAACAGGATCCTCATCCCATGCCCCACCCCCAGCCTCAGCCAGTCAGGATTGCAGGCTCGCACACGTGCCCGACATGCACAGAGGCCTTACCCTCATAAAGCAGCGAGCGGCTGGCCTAGCCTTTGCACTATTTTTTTTGGAGAGGTTTTTACTATAGAGCGTGTGTGCTCGCCAGAAAGACAGAGACAGAAAGTGAGAAATCACACACAAACACACATACACACCCAGAAGGATGGCCACACTGCAACCCCTTTTCCTCCATTCTCCTCTCGGGATCTTGGCCACACACGCACACGCGCCTGGTGTGAGTTTAAACCACCGGGTCTGGGACTCGAACCGCAGTCGACTACCTGGGAGTCCAGTGCCATGGCCGTTACACCAACTGCTTGTCCCGCGTTTGCACTTTTAACTCCACAGTAGCCAGCCAAGACCAGCACTGGCTCTTTCAGGGTGGGTCCCACGGGGGCAGGAGATGCACACAGAAGCTGACGCCTGCATGCTCCCCTCCCCTGCTGATTCTCCTCTAGCACTTACCACCAACTGACTTGTGAAGCCCTTTCCCACCCCTTAGTCCAGCCCCTGCCGACCACTGACCTTCTTTTTGACTTTCAGCCAGTCCCTGATCCTCTCTGGCTTCCCATGGCTAAGACAGAAGGTTTAGGGGCCAGCAGGTGGCTTGGAGGTTAAGACACTGTATTTCACATGGCCAACTGTGTAGTTCAAGTCCCAGACCTGGTAGCTTGAAAATCACACTGGGGATGGGAGGCAGCAGGTGGCATGGTGGTTAAAGCACTGAACTTCCACATGGCCAACCATGGCTTGAGTCCCAGACCTGGCGTCTTGAAACTCACGCAGGGCACATGAGCGTGCATGCCCAAAATCCTAAAAGGAGAATGGAAGAGAAGGGATTGTGATGTGGCTATCCCCCTGGGGAGTGATTTCTCACTCTCTCTCTCTCTCTGTGTGTGTCTCATGAGCACATGTGCCCTATAGCAGAAACTTAAAAAAAAAAAAAAAAAAAAAAAAAAAAGGAAGGTTTAGCCTAGTAGGTTCTGTGAGCTAGAATCCCACTAATCCCCAAACATACCAGACTGAGAGGAGGCAGCAGGAAGTTTTCGGGTTCTGGGATGGAGGACCGTTTGGGGGGTCTTATTCCCAGCAGCTCCACCCCCTCATCCTCATCCTCTGAGGTCTGGACCAAGGCCCTGAAGCAAAACAGGAACATTTTTCAGAACCCAGCAAATCTGGGTGCCAGCGTGAGCTGGGTTGAACATTCACTCGTTTTCCTAAGCACTATTTATTCCTTCACTCGTACACTCACCAAACCATCCACCAGCCAATCTCCCATTCGTCTCCCTACCTATCCATCCAGCCGTGTCCCTCCCCCTAGCCATCCTTCCACTCATCCACTTACCCATCTGTCCACCCACCCATCCACGCACCTGTTCACTCATTCATTCACCCATGTACTAATCCAGCTTCCCATGCATCCATCTGACAACCTGTCAACCATCCGCCCACCCATACAACCTTCCTCCATCTATCCTTCCAATCTAGCTATCCACCTACGCACCGTCTATCTGTCCATCCACCCATCCCTCCCTCTATCCATCCACCCACACATACAACCTTCATCTATCCTTCCAATCTAGCTATCCACCTACATACCGTCTATCTGTCCATCCACCCATCCCTCCCTCTATCCATCCACCCACCCATACAACCTTCATCTATCCTTCCAATCTAGCTATCCACGTATGCACAGTCTATCTGTCCATCCATCCATCCCTCCCTCTATCCATCCACCCACACATACAACCTTCCTCCATCTATCCTTCCAATCTAGCTATCCACCTACGCACCGTCTATCTGTCCATCCATCCATCCCTCCCTCTTTCAAAGAGGGATATTGACCCTTTGAAACTTTATGTCGAATTGCGCGTGTGTATACAATTTTGGGGGAAAGAATCCATAGCCTCATCACATTCTCAAAGTGTTCGAAAACTTAGTTCTAGACAGTTTCTCTCATACTACAACACTGTCTTCTGAACTGTGACAAAAATGATCACTAGATCAGATATAAATACATTTTAAAAAAGAGAGCCCAGGAGGCAGCAGGTGGGGTAGTGGTTAAGGCAGTGGGCTACACATGGCCAAGCACGGTTTGAGTCTCTCTCTGCCTCTCTGTCTCTCTGGCATGTGCAGTTGCCCTGTAGCAAAAATTTCTCTTAAAAAAAAAAAGGAAGACAGCCCTGGGCTGACTGGTGGGATTTGGATACGCAATGAGAGCCGTGGAGGGTGGCCCAGGAGGGGGCACACGTAGGCAAAGACGCGGAGGCTGCCACACCCCTGCATGTGTGAGGTCTGGCTGGAGAGGAGAGCAGACTGGGAGGAACGGTGAGCGATGAGGCAGGGGCGAGACAGGGACAAAGGGGTCTTGTCCACATTCTCTCTCTACCCCCCTTCCCTGCGGCTCACCTCTTCCGAGCCCCAGCCATGGGGGAGGATGCTGAGGGACCCCCTGTGGAAGGACTGGAGCAGCTCAACCGGGGGTCACTCCCCCAGCGAGGCAGCAGGGAGGGCTCGGGGGGTGGCGGTGACAAGCCGTGGAAGCTCCGGGCACGGGGCCGGAGAAGAGCCCCTGAAGGTCTGCGGGAGGCCCTGGGCAGCTGCTCGCTGGAGCTGAGCTGGAAGTCGTCGTCCATGGAAATGTAGGGAGCCAGCATCTCCAAGTCCAGGGCGTCGCCGTCCTGCGGAGGGCAGGGGAGTTAAGGACAGGAGCCTCGGACTCAGGTGGGCCTGGCTGGAGCCTCGGCTTCACCTGGCCTGAGCTCAGAGGTGAGCTTCAGTTTCCTCACCTGGAAAACGGGCGTGAGGGCCCCGTAGCAGCCACTCAGTCGCCAGGACAGCTCCCAGGGATCCACACCTCGGTTGTCCCCTACCACCCTGCGCCCCTACCATGGCGATTAGGGCTGAGCTGGCTAATGAGAGGATATGGTAGAGATGATGCCAAAGAGACACTTCAGGATCAGCAGATGGTGGAACAGCTACAACGCCAGACTCCCGCATAGTCAACTGCCGTTCGAATCCCAGATCCGGCAACTCAAAACTCATGCTGGGCACGTGTGCGTGTGCCCAATAGGAGGAGGAGAATGGGGAAGAAGTGTGGCCATCCCCCTGGGGGGTACTGTCTCACTTTCTCTCTCTCTCTCTCTCTCTCTCTCTCTGTCTCTCCAGTGAGCACAAACATCCCATAGCAAAACTCTCTCAAAAAATTAAAAAAAAAAAAAACGAGAGAGAGAGACACTTCCATTTTCGTTGCTGTCTCTTTCTCTTAGATCATGTGCTCTGGGGAAAGGCTCCCACGGCAGGAAACAGGTCTGCCAACAGCCTAGTGAGAGATCTTCCAGGAGAATCTTCTAGCTTCTGCCAAGACTCCGGATGACTGCAACCTCCGGGAGGCCCTGAGTAAAAGCCACCCAGTTAAATGGCTCCTGGATCCCCGGTCCTCAGAAACCCTGTGAGATACTAAATGCTTGTCCTTTTAACCTGCTAAATGTTGGAGTGATTGACCGTCCAGAATTAGCAGTTGGTACCGAGAATGGAGTATCTACAATAGGGAAGTGGGGAGTGGGCTAGAAGGATTTTGGATGAGCATTTGAGAGAAATCCTAAATTGCCTTGAATAAACTTTGTGTCAAAATCTGAACCTTGGGGGCCAGTAGGTGGCGTGGTAGTTAAGGCACTGGGCACTCCCACATGGCCAACCACAGTTTGAGTCCCGGACCTGGTGGCTTGTTTTCTTACTTTCTCTCTCTCTCTCTCTGTGTCTCTCTCTGGTCAAAAGAAAATGAATGGATAAATAAAATTAAATAAATAATTATTTTTTAAAAATCTGAACCTTGATGAGGTTGTCAGTGAGGGCTTAAAGGAAAGGAAGAAACATGATATATGAAACTGGAGGAAACTGGACGGGATTTCTGCCCCGTAGCCTGAAAGTTCAGCAACATTGCTGCCTGTAGTCCTTTGGAAAGTGGAAACCGGAAAACGTAATCAATGAATTAAACGATCTAGCCAATGCGATTTCCAGCTAAAGGCGTGGCCTAATTTCTTCTTATGACTTAAAGTGAAAAGCAAGAGGAGGGAACCAGCAGTTAGCGTAATGGCTATGTCACTAGACTCCCACGTAGTCGACTGTGGTTCGCGTCCCGGACCCGGTGGCTTAAATCTCACGCCGGGCGCGTGTGCGTGCGTGCCCAAGATCCCAAGAGGAGAATGGAGGAGAAGGGATTGCAGCGTGACCATCTCCCCTGGGGGGTGATTTCTCGCTTTCTGTCTCTATGTCTCTCTCTCTCTGTCTGTCTGTCTCTCTGTCTGTCTGGCGAGCGCACGCGCCCTATAGCAAAAACCTCTCCAAAAAAAAAAGAGGAGAGAGAAGAACTAAAGGGAGAAATATTAAACTTGTAGGAGCTGATATTAAACTTGTAGGAGCTGAGACTTGATGGTTTTCAAAACTTTCAACCTTCCTGGGAACCAGCAGTTAGCGTAATGGCTAAGTCGCTGGATTTCCACGTAGTCAACTGTGGTTCGCATCCCGGACCCAGTGGCTTAGAACTCACGCCAGGCGCGTGTGCATGTATGGCCAAGATCCCAAGAGGAGAACGGAGGAGAAGGGATTGCGGCGTGACCATCCCCCCTGGGGGATGATTTCTCGCTTTCTGTCTCTCTGTCTGTCTCTGTCTGTCTGGTGAACGCACGCGCCCTATAGAGAAAACCTCTCAAAAAAAAAGAAATTATTTTATGGGAACCAGCAGGAGGCATGGTGGTTGGGGCGCTGGACACTCCCACATGGCCAACTGTGGTTCAAGTCCCAGACCTGGTGGCCCGCTTTCTCACTTTCCCTCTCTCTCTTTCTGTCTTTCTCTGGCCAAATTAAAAATAAATGAATGAATAAATTAAATAATTATTTGGAAAAAAGAGAATTATTTTACTTAACTTTTTATTTATTTATTTTTATTTATTTATTTAAATTTGGCCAGAGAAAGACAGAAAGAGAGAGAGGGAGAGAGAAAGTGAGAAAGCAAGCTGCCAGGTCCAGGACTTGAACCACAGTTGGCCATATGGGAACCTGGCACCCTTAACCACCATGCCCATCTGCTGGCCCAAAAGTTAGTTGTTTTAGGGTGCTGGATTTTAGGAAATTTGTTATGTAGCAATAGGGAACTAACACATGATGCCACTGTCATCTCATCTATACACTCTATAAAGCATCCATTCAAACACCATCTATTCACCCATGAAAACACCTGCATAAATTTCATCCATCCATCCACCATCATCCACCGATGAAAACAGTGGTTTATCCATCACTTATCTATCCATTCATCTGTCTACCAACTATCCATCTATCCACTCATCTATCCATCCATCCATCCACTCATGTATCCATCCACCCATTCATCTAGCCAGCCAGCCACTCACCCATCCACCCATACATACATATATCTATTCATCCCTCCATCTATCCACTCATCTGTCCATCTATCCACTCATCTGTCCATCTATCCACTCATCTATCCATCCAACCATCCACTCATCTATCTATCCATCCATTCACCCATCCATTTATCTATCCATCCATCCACTCATCTTCACTCATCTATCCATTCACCCATCCACTCCTCTATCCATCCACCCATCCACTCATCTACCTATCCATCCATCCACTCATCTATCCATCCACTCATCCATTCATCTATCCATCCACTCATCCACTCATTTATCCATCCACTCATCCACTCATCTATCTATCTATCCATCCATCCACTCATCTATCCATCCATCCATTCATCTCCACTCATCTATCTATCTCAAGAGGAGCCCCCTGACCTTGCCTTCTTCTGTGGCTGGGCTTGGCACTCTGAGAGACAGTGCCCCTGAACGAGGTCAGAGTTGGGCAACTGGTGGTCTTGGGAGGGAGTGTGGGTCCCATAGAGCCCAGGAGAGGACAAGGAGAAGCAGGTGCAGAAGCTGCCCTCAGAGGGCCTGCTCTGTCGGCCAGGACCTGAACTGCTGTTGTTCCGCGGGCCCAGAGGGAACTATGCTCCCTCAGCAGGCATTTGAGCTCAGCCATCCCACCGCTCCTCTCTGAAGCTGAGATACATTGGTCTCCAGAGCATAAGCCAGCCCGTACCTGAGCCACATCTAGATCTGTCTCCACCGCCTCAACGTCCTCCCCAGAGGCTGAGAGGCTGTGTGCCTCCCCCAAGCCCACAAGCAGTTCATCTGGGAGGGCAGCCTGTGGGACACAGAGAGACAGGAGAGCTTGAGCCCGGGAGACGCCAACAGCAAGGCAGCTTGAGTTCGGGGGCAGAAGTGGGGTAAAAGGTCAAACAGCGGTGCCACCAAGGGGTCAAATGGCAACTGTTGACACGTTTTGAAGCTGAGCTGGTGATTGAGCACTGGAGTGCCTGGAATACTCAGACTGATGGCAGACATCGAGCCTGAGGCTGACATTCAGGTCTTTGGGCTAGTCTCGGAGTCCGAAGTCTAGGGAAAATGCAGAGTTCAACACGCCAGGGGTAAGGGTGAGGCCAAAGGTCACCATCTATATTTCTCAGGGAGGGAGAAGATATTTTCTTGGGGTGGTGGGTAAGACTGAGGACAGTCCACATCAAGTAGTGGGGTCAAAGGTCAGGCTCAGCCCACCACGTAAAAATGGTAACCCCTACGGTCTACTGAGCACCTGGTAGGTGCCAGCTTCTCTGAGTGCTTCCCATGAGCAATCTGATTTGACCCTACAGTCACCAATGGTGTGGCTACTTGTCCCCTCCCTCACTTCATAGATGAAGAAACTAAGCCCCCGGGAACTCGTCTGCACAGAGGAACGCAGTTGGTAGGCGGTGAGTTTAGGATTTGAATTCGGGTCTGTGCAAATTAGACATTCTGACTCTTTGAGGTCAAAGTTCACAAAGACTGGATACTTGGTCATACGCTGGAGGAGGGGCTACCCCACGTCAGTCCCAAACACCCCAGGTTGGAAACCAGATGCTGCAATTCTGACAGCTGAAGAATTCAGGGTTGGTTTTTTTGTTTCTTTTCTTTTTTTTCTTCCTTTCGCCTTCTTTCTTTTTCTTTTTTCACAATTTTTAAAAAAAGAATGACTTAGTTCTGTTTGTTATTATTACTTTTTTAAGAGAGAGATTTTTTCCATGGGGCACGTGCACTCGCTGGAGAAACAGAAAACAAGAAATCATCCCCCCAGGAGGGATGGCCACACTGCAATCCCTTCTCCTCCATTCTCCTCTCAGGATCTTGAGCACACAAACATGCCTGGCATGAGTTTCAAGCCACCAGGACAAGGACTCGAACCACAGTCAACTATGCCAGAGTCCTTCGATATAACCATTATGCCATCTGCTGGTCCTTTATTTATTATTATTATCATTATCATTTTAAATTTTGCTATAGGACACATGCACTCACCAGAGAGAGAGAGAGAGAGAAAGTAAGAAAGCAAGCAAGCAAGCTACCAGGCCTGGGACTTGAACCGCAGTTGGCCAGGTAGGAGTCTAGTACTCTAACCACGACACACCTGCTGGCCCCATGGAAGCCAGATCTTAAAAGAACACCAACCTCATCTCATCCCAACCTCTCACTATGCAGATGAAGAAACTAAGGCCCAGAGAACAGGGTTTGAGCCAAAGGCCAAGGCAGCCTGGATTCTGAGTGTGGTCTTGGATCGAGTGGTGGAACTGCTTACCGGAAGAGGACTTTGGGGGCGCCGTGTGGCTGGGGGTGTGCTGGGGGAAGCAGCTACTGAAGTCCCATCCAGGATGGGCGCCAGGAGGCGGCGGAGGTCAGGACTGCAGAAACGGCGAGGGTCAGCAGCCAGGGTGGCTTCGCTTAGGGCAGGGGGGTGCAGGAAGGCGAGGATCCGGGGACCAGGCGCATCTGCAGGACACATGGAGACAGGAGGACACAGGGTGGTCATCTAGGGCCTGAAGCCAGAGCTCGCCAAGCCACCCCCAGGGAACACGGTTGACATCTTCCCCCACCCAGGATGACCACTGTCCATAGTGCTGAGCAGGAGGGGCCTGGAGGACCCTGACTGGGCCAGGGATGGTGACCAGACTGTGGAGAGGCCCTGGAGGGTTCTAGAGGAGAGGTCCCACCATCCAGAACAGCATTTGGCCACTCAGTTCTTGGGGGCTTGCATCTTAGGAGAAAAGATGACCCAAAGCCCGCAAGGAGGTCCTAGAGTCCCTAGAGGTAAAGGCATGGCTCAGGACCAACTCCAAGCCAGAGGAAGATGGGCACCAGCAAGCCTGCCCCACACGCAGGGGCGTGGACTGCCTGCAGGAGCTTGGAGAAGGTGAGACCTTGAAGAGCAAACAGGAAGGGAAGCTCGTCCAGGATGGGGAGAGGGGAGAAGGAAGGAGGAGAAAGGAGCTGGAATTGGGAGGGTCAAGACAAAGAGCAGTGAAGCAGAAACCGAGAAGAAGCCAAAGGGCACGAGCAATGGGAAGCCATAGCAGGTATTAGAGCAGAGGGCGACAAGAGTCTGAAGCGATCATCCCATAGACACAGGAGAGGGGGAGGCACGAGGGAGAAGAGCATTCTGGGCAGAGGAATTGCAAGTGCAAAGGCCCCAAGGCATGGAAGAGTCTAGAAGTTCCCAGAGCTCCAAGGAAGCTTGTGTGGCTTGGAGGGTGAGTGAGAAGGGGAGGAAGGGTCTCCAGGTCCCTCGGGGCCTGCTGAGCCTTGTTAAGGCATACAACCGCTCCCAGCCCCAGCCTGACCCATACCAAGGCTGTCCCCAGGTTTAAGGGCGTCCTTCTGGGCAGGGGCGCCCCGCCGAGTGGGTCTGCGAGAGTGTCGCTCTGTTTGCTCCAAGGACAGCACCACTCCGGTCTCTTCCACCCGGCTGGGGTACAAGGCAGAAAGGGGAGTGGGAGTCAGGGGGCCCGGCGCCGGCCACAGCCCCTCAGATGTCCTAGAGTTAGCAGTCATTTCCAGGGGCTGCAAGGCACCCTGCAGAAAATGATCTCCCCCGTTTGCTTCTCACAAGGATCTGCTTTTTCCTGAGGCCTTTTATACTAACAGCATCTAAAAGAAAGTTAAGTTTGTCGCTTCCCTAGCGCCCTCTGTAGGAGGAAAGAGAGAAAAAAAGAGCTGGCATTCAGCCTGGAGAGGAGACTGCGGGTGGGGGTGGGGGACAGAGAGAGAGAGGGGGTAGGAGATGGAGGGAAAGAGGGGGAGATAGGGCAGAGAGAGGGACAGGGGTGGGGGGGAGCAAAAGGGCTAAGAACTAAATACGCTCTAAGTATTTACTTCAAAACATAGTCTTATAAATATGCTGACAAAAATATTTTTAACATGTTCTTTACATCGCCAAATATGAAGAATTCATAGGGCTACACTTTTATGAATAAGATTTTATTTATGAAGCTTCTATTCATAGACTTTTTTCATATTCAAGGGAACAGATTTATAAATACATCCTTCTCATGCCCCCGCCCCCCCGGCCCTGCCATCTCTAGCTGCAGAGACAACCCGATTGTGCTCTGAGCACACTGGCCATTGGAGAATTGGCCAGGGGCTGAGGCCAGGCCCTCATTTGCATCTCATTTGCATCTCGTTTGCATCACACCCTCCAGGACAGAATGCAGGTGGGCCTGCCCCCCCACCTCAGCTCTCTGAGAAGCTGTGACCCTCTCCCCGCCCTCACGAAACCCTTCCTGAGTTGGAAACCTCCTAACTTAGGTTGAACCAAAGCCTCTTAGTCCCTTGAAAAACATCAGTACACACAGTCTCACATGTAGACACACTCAGAACATTCTAGCTCACACACAGGAGCAGATAGGCACACACGCTCCATACTCTTGGGTGTATGTTTATGCACTTACACCACATGGAGATCACACGTCCATTCATTTCACAAACATGTCTTAGTCACGCAGCATTGTGGAGTGGTTCAGGGCAAACACTCTGCAGCTAGTGCCTGGGTTCAAATCCCAGGCCTACTACTAGAGGGGGAGATAGGGCAGAGAGAGGGACAGGGGTGGGGGGGAGCAAAAGGGCTAAGAACTAAATACGCTCTAAGTATTTACTTCAAAACATAGTCTTATAAATATGCTGACAAAAATATTTTTAACATGTTCTTTACATCGCCAAATATGAAGAATTCATAGGGCTACACTTTTATGAATAAGATTTTATTTATGAAGCTTCTATTCATAGACTTTTTTCATATTCAAGGGAACAGATTTATAAATACATCCTTCTCATGCCCCCGCCCCCCCGGCCCTGCCATCTCTAGCTGCAGAGACAACCCGATTGTGCTCTGAGCACACTGGCCATTGGAGAATTGGCCAGGGGCTGAGGCCAGGCCCTCATTTGCATCTCATTTGCATCTCGTTTGCATCACACCCTCCAGGACAGAATGCAGGTGGGCCTGCCCCCCCACCTCAGCTCTCTGAGAAGCTGTGACCCTCTCCCCGCCCTCACGAAACCCTTCCTGAGTTGGAAACCTCCTAACTTAGGTTGAACCAAAGCCTCTTAGTCCCTTGAAAAACATCAGTACACACAGTCTCACATGTAGACACACTCAGAACATTCTAGCTCACACACAGGAGCAGATAGGCACACACGCTCCATACTCTTGGGTGTATGTTTATGCACTTACACCACATGGAGATCACACGTCCATTCATTTCACAAACATGTCTTAGTCACGCAGCATTGTGGAGTGGTTCAGGGCAAACACTCTGCAGCTAGTGCCTGGGTTCAAATCCCAGGCCTACTACTTATGAGCTGTGTGACCTTGAGCATGTAGCTGAACCTCTCTGGGCCTCAATTTCCTCTTCTGTCAGAAGGAGATAACAGGACCTCCTCCTCAGGTCGTCATGAAGATGAAATGAGTTACTACATGTGAAATGTATGTGCTGGGCACGTGGTCATGTAAGTGTTTGCTATTATTTTTATTATTGGGTTATCGGGAAAGTCATGATGCATTTTTGCATAGAAAAACACGGAAAAAAGACCGAGGTTTTTTCCACAGGGCACATGCGCTCAGCAGAGAGAGAATGCACATGTGTCCAGCGTGATTTTCAAGCTGCTGGCACTGGGACTCAAACCACAGTATTCTATGTGGAAGTCCAGTGTCTTAACCACCTGCTGGCTTCACTAGTATTATTTTTTTATTTTTTATTTTTGGAGAGGTTTTTGCTATAGGGCACGTGTGCTTGCCAGAAAGAGAGAGAGAGACAGAGAGACAGAAAGTGAGAAATCACCCCCCAGGGGGGATGGTCACACCGCAATCCCTTCTCCTCCATTCTCCTCTTGGGATCTTGGGCATGCATGCACACACGCCCAGCGTGAGTTTAAGCCACTGGGTGCGGGACTCGAACCGCAGTGGATTACATAGGAGTTCAGCGACATAGCCATTATGCCAACTGCTGATCCCCTTTCACTATTATTATTTTTTAAATGGTTTTTCTTCTCTTTCTTCAAGGTGTGGGGGCGGGGGACACACACACACACACACACACACAAGCATACCCAACAGGGTTTCCATGCCATAACTCGTCCCAAGTCTCAGCCACCCAGAAACGTGGGTATGTGCACCTGCATATGGTGTGCACAGAGGACACCGGGGCGTGAACTCGGGACCCTCCTGTGAGGCTTCGGCATTGCAGAGCACTGCGTTATCACTGCTCCAGCACCGCCGGCCCTGTTCTTACTCTTTGTGGCGCAGCTGCTGTGTGCCAGGCACCACGCTCGGCACTGAGGACTCAGCAGCAAACGAGGCAGACAAACTCCCTGTCCCCCCAGAGATTAAGTGCTCATGGGAAAAAAGACAGACCTTACATAAAATACTACATACGGACTAATTAAGTAATGCACTCGAGGGACCAGCAAACGGTGTAATGGTTATGTCATTGGATTTCGTCTTAGTCAACTGGCTAAAACTTATGTCAGGAGCATGTGCATGCATGCCCAAAACCCTGAGAGGAGGATGGAGGAGAAAGGATTGTGGCATGGACATCCGCCCTAGGGGGGTGATGTCTCACTTTCTATCTTTCTGTCTCTGTCTCTCTGGTGAGCGCACACACCTATAGCAAAAATCTTTTTAAAAATTGAGTAGGGAGGGACCAGCAGTTAGCGTAATAGTTATGTTGCTGGACTCCCACGTAGTCGACCGCGGTTCGCGTCCCAGACCCGGTGGCTTAAAAGTCACACCGGGCATGTGTGCGTGCGTGCCCAAGATCCCAAGAGGAGAATGGAGGAGAAGGGATTGTGGCGTGACCATCCCCCGTAGGGGGTGATTTCTCGCTTTCTGTCTCTCTGTCTGTCTCTGTCTGTCTGGCAAGCGCACGCGCCCTATAGCAAAAACCTCTAAAAAAAAAAAAAATTGAGTAGGGAGGACCAGCAGGTGGGATGGAGGTTAAGGCACTTGAACCACATGGCTGACCGTGGTTCAAGTCCTGGACCTGGCGGCTTGAAAATCACACTGGACACATGTGCGCGCATGTCCAAAATTCCAGGAAGAGAATAGAGGAGAAGGGATTGCGGCTTGGTCTGGGGGGTAATTTTTCACTTTCCCTCTCTCTCTGTCTCCCTCCAGCAAGCACACATGTCTGACAGCCAAAACCTTAATAAATAAATGAAGATGGAATAAAGGAAAAAATGGAGTATGTGTTGGCTCCATGCTGCAGCGGTAACGCACTGCTGAAGAGAAGTCAGACCCCACATGGTGGCCCTCGTTTGAATCTGTGGACTGGTCAGCCTGAAATACACATAGGAGTGTCCAGGAGCTGATGGGCCAGCGGACTGGAGGAGGGGGTCACAGCATGAGCCGGCCCTGTGGAGGGTTCTTCTCTCTCTTCATCCTCTTTCTCATTCTCACACGCATGTGCACACACTCTATCATTAATAAAGGAAAAAAAGCTACGCAGTGGATGCTGAGCAATGATTAAAACAAAAAAAAAGAGTATAAGACGGATCTAGAGAGGCCAGCAGGTGGCATGGTGGTTAAGGCACTGGACTCCCACGCATGCGCACGGCCCCAGATTCCAGGAGGAGAATGGAGGCGAAGGGATTACGGTGGCCATCTCTCTGGGGGATGATTTCTCACTTTTCCGCTCACTGTCTCTATTGCTCTCGCTCTCTTGCGAGTGCATGTGCCCTAAGGCAAAACCTCTATCAAAAAAATATATATATGACTTATTATTATTATTTTAATTTGCCATAGGGCATGTACATTCACCAGAGAGAGAGAGAGAGAAAGAGAGAGGGAAAGTGAGAAAGCAAGCAGCCAGGTCTGTGACTTGAACTGTGGTTGGCCATGTGAAAGTCCAGCACCTTAACCACCATGCCACTTGTTGGTCCCCTTACTATTATTATCTTTTTCTTTAAGAGAGATTTTTTGCTATAGGGCACGTGCACTTGTTGGAGAGACAGAGAGACAGAAAGCGAGAAATCAGCCCTCAGGGGGGAGGGTAGTCATGCCGCAATCCCTTCTCCTCCAGCCTCCTCTTGGGATTTTGGACACGCACGCACATACATCTGGAATGAGTTTTAGGCCATTGGGTCTGGGACTCAAACTGTGGTCAACTATTTAGGAGTCCATCTATGTAAACATTACGCCATCTGCTGGTACCTATTATTATTTTTTAATTTGTTATAGTGTACATGCATTCACCAGGAGTGAGAGAGAGAGAGAAAGTGAGAAAGCAAGCTTCCAGGTCTAGGACTTGAACCATGTTCAGCTGTGCAGGAGTCCAGCACCTGAACACCACCTGCTGGCCCCACGAGAGTTTTTTTTTTCAGTTGCCGAGGGCTTATGCACTCAATAGAGAAAGAAAAGACTAGATAGAGAGATGGAAAAAGAGAAATCACCCCCAGTGGGGAATGGTCCCACTCTAATCTCTTCTCTGCTTACCCATCCAGCTGGGATTTGAGGTGTACGCCTGGTGTTTTTTCAAACCACTGGGACCAGGATTCAAACTGCAGTTGGCCATGTGGGATCTGGCTCCCTGAACCACTAGGCTATGGGGCTGGCCAGCAAGAGGATGTTTGTGGGTGATGAAGCTGTTCTCATACCTGATTGTATTAGAGATTATTCAGTTGCATGCATCTGTGAAAACTCATAATTGCACCCCAAAGAAGGAATTTCATTGTACCTCAATGTCTAAAACAAAAGACGAGGTGCTGGCAGGTGGCGTGGTGGTTAAGGGTACTGGACTCCCACATGGCTGACCCCAGTTTGAGTCCCAGACCTGGTGGCTTGCTTTCTCACTCTCTCTCTTTCTCTCTCTCTCTCTCCCTCTCTCTCCATCTCTGGTCTCTCTCTCTGTTCCTCTCTGGTCTAATGAATGAATGAATGAATGAATTCTTAAAAAAAAAAAAAAAAAGATGGTTCTCTTGGGTTTCTCACTTTAACTTGAACGTAGAGTCCTTTCTAATCTAAAAGAACAGCGCGTGTACCCATATCCACGCATGTGTACATGCAACCTCCTGTGTGTGCATTCACAGGGCCATGCACTGCCCACCTATGTACGCATGTGCACACTCCTTTACACACACGTATGCGTGATACACATGTACGTGTGCACACACACGCATACACTTGTCCATGCACAGGTGGACCAGACCCACCCAGGCACCGCCGCACACCCTCCTGCTTACCTGATCAGGAAGTGAACACAGACGATACTCTCCGCCTGGGGGCCCCGGCCCCCTGACACCACTGTGGCCTGGGTCTGGGTCCACAGGTAGCCACCACTCCGGGCCAGGAAGCGGTACTGCCCCGTTACTGCCTGGCCCTTGCTCAGCACTGAGAAGGGGACGGGGAGGGGTCAGGGCCACTGGGGAGAGAAAGCTCTGGGACTGGGGCTAGGCATTAGGGGGTCAGGGAGAAGTTCCTTGGGCACTGGAGGGGCAAGAAGCAGCTGGGGAGTGAGGAAGGCTGTCTGGGCGGTGGGGAGCGGGGGCCTGGCATGAGCAGGGGCTGTGCAGCAGCTGGCTCCAGGTTGGAACCGGCACACGTACAGGTGTGGATGCTTCTGCTGACCGCGTCTGAGTCCAGCGCGTGGATGTACTCGTAGGCAGAGCAGCCAATCAGGTCGTCGGGGCTGTAGCCGGCCACGTCCGCGATCCTGGGGGAGGAGGCAGTGCGGCCTGGTTAGGGTTCAGCTGGCCAAGGTGGAGGGTGGTGGTGGGAAGGGGCAGGAAGACACAGAGCCAAAGCCAGCAAGACAGAGAGACAGGCTGTGACAGAGAGAAAGGGCGGGAGCGAGAAGTGGAGAATCGTGGCCCCAAAGTCATCGCACCCCGAGTCCCGGAACGTGTGCGCGTGCTCCTCTACACGGCACGGGGGAGGAAGTGAAGGACCCTGAGCTGGAGACAGTCCTGGAGTATCTAGGTGAGCCCGCTGGATCGCGAGGGTCCTTAAAGAGGGAGGCAGCAGGGTCAGAGAGAGAAAGGAGTGGGGCCACCCGACGCGGAGGCTGAGCCAATGTTCTGAAGCCAGAGGAAGATCCCCCTCCCCCCAAGGAGAGCTTTGCGCGGCCGGCACCTGCATGCCCGCCTGCACTCAGCCCTTGTCACGGGAGCGGCAGTGCCGCCCCCGGTGCGGGAGCCCCAGGGCTCATGGCTGGCGAGTACATGAGGCAAACATGTGGATGAACAAATGGAATATTATCTAGTCATGAGAAGGATGAACTCAGGCCAGTCCGTGGTGTGGTGGTTAGGGCAGCTGGATCCCACATGGCCCAATGCAGTTCGAGTCCCACACCTGGCAGCTTGAAAAACCTGCCAGTTGTGTGTGCATGCCCAAAATCCCCAAAGGAGGGCGAGATGGAGAAGGGATTGTGGGGTGACCATGCGCCATGAGGGTGCTTTCTCTTCCCTGCCTCCTGTTTCTCTCTAGTGAGGCAAATTAAAGGGGGGAAGGCAGCTAGTGGTATGGTTGTTAAGATACTGGATTCCCACAGGGCCAATCATAGTTCAAGTCCCAGACTCAGCAGCTTGAAATTCATGCCAGAGGACCAGCACTTGGCATAATGACTACGTCATTGGACTCCCATGTAGTCGACCGCGGTTCGAGTCCCAGACCCGGTGGCTTAAACTCACACTGGGCGCGTGTGTGTGCGTGCCCAAGATCCTGAGAGAAGAATGGAGGAGAAGGGATTGTGGTGTGGTCATCCCCCCGGGGGGTGATTTCTCGTTTTCTGTCTCTCTGTCTCTCTGTCTCTCTGTCTTTTCTGGTGAGCTCACGCGTCCTATAGCAAAAACCTCTCCAGAAAAAAGAAAAAAGAGAAAGAAATTCATGCCAGGCACTCGTGTGTGCTCAAGATCCTGAGAGGAGAATGGAGGAGAGGAGATTGCAGTGCGACCATCCTCCCTGGGGGTGCTTTCTCGCATTCTCTGTCTCTCTCCAGCAAATACACACACCCTGTGGCAAAGTAAATAAATAAATGAAATCCAGTCATTTGAGACAATGTGGGTGAACCTGGAGGATGACGCTAAGTAGAATAAGGCAGGGCTGGGAGACAAATACTGTGTGTTCTCACCCATTAGTGGAAGGAAAAAGGTTCGACTACACAGAGGGGGAGAGTGTAGCAGTGGACGCCAGAGCCGAGGGGAAGAGGAGCGTAAGTGAAGGAAGGGGGAGAAGGAGAGAGGACGCTGGCTGTCACCGAGTGCCTCCCGTGCGCAGGGCACCGTGCCCACTGCTTTACAGAGCTGACGCATTTAAGAAAAGCAGCAAGGCCAGCCCCACACGGCAGTGGTTAGGCTCTGCACAGCGGAAGCCAGATCCCACATGACTGACCAGAATTCGAGTCCTGGCCCTGTGAACTTCACAGACACGATGTTCATATGCAAAGATCCTGACCGGATAAAGAAATGGAGAGAAAAAAAGATTGAAGTGTGACCAGGCCCCATTAGGGAGAGCTCTCTTTCTCTATTTCATGCATTTAAAAAAAGAAAGAAAGAATGAAGGGATCAGCAGGTGGCATGGTGGTTAAGGAGCTGGACTTCCACATGACTGCACTTCAAGTCCTGGACCTGGCAGCTTGCTTTCCCACTTTCTCTCGTCGAATTAAAAAGTCATTTATTAAAATAATAAATACACTCAATAAAATAATTCTAAAAAAAAAAAAAAAAGAAGAGATCAGCCCATAGAGTGGAGGTTAAGGCACTGGACTCCCACATGGCTGACTGTGGTTCAAATCCTGGACCTGGCAGCTTGAAATTCATGCTGGGCACATGTGTGTGCACGCCCAAAATCCTGAGAGGAGAATGGAGAAGGAGGGATTGTGGCATGGCCATCCCCCCTGTGTCTCTCCAGGGAGCACATGAACCCTGTGGTAAAAACCTGGGAGAGAGGAAGGAAGAAAGAAAAGAAAAACAGGAGTGGTAGGAACACTAAGAGAAAGATTCAGAGACAGAAGAAGAGAAAAGCAAAGGGAAAAAGACTCAAGATTCGGAGAGAAGCAGTTACAGGAAAAGACAGAGATAGATGGAGTCAGAGAGACAGAGACAGAAGAGAAAAAGGACGCAAGGGAGAAAGGCCGGTGGGTGGGAGGGAGGGGAGACAGGAGCAATCTGGCAGAGGGGAGAGGCCGGGCCGGGCCGTCCCAGCCCACCTCTCGTCGCAGTAGGTGAACTTCATGTCCAGGCTATGAAGGCTGAGGAAGGCCCCCCGGCCCAGCGGGGGCTCCAGGCTGCCCGGGTGGGGGATGGCTTCACAGATGAGTACCAGACAGTGCAGAGGGGGCTCCAAGTGGGGGCTCCCGGCGGGGGAAGGCTGTGCGGGGCACTCGTAGGCCCTCATGTGTCCGGAGCAGTGCAGCACCTGGCAGGGGGAGGGGTGGTGGTGATGCACCACGATGATGCTGGGGGCTCCCCACGGGCTCTGCAGGCCCACAAGCAGCCAAGAAGAGACCCCTGAGAACTCCAGAGGCCGCTCAGAGAGCTCAGAGAATCCAGATTCCACACCCACAGGGCCCAGCCTAAGAAAGGCTGCTGGGAACCCTGATTCCAGACACATAGCCTCCCAGGTGCCCGGAGGTTCCTTAGACCCAGCCTGTGAGCCCCACAGGACCCCTGGCCCAGGAGTCCCTTGAACTCCAACCCCCCTGGACACCTTAGGGGCTCAGGCCCTGCCCCAGCAGGCCCCAGACCCCAACCCTCCTCCAGGCCAGGCCCCGCCCACCTTCCAGGTGGCTGCCTTGAGGTTGAGGGTGCGCCCGCGGCTGGTGAGGGTGCTCTTCATGCGCAGGGACAGGCAGCGCTCAGTGGGGGCCTCTGGCCTCTTCTTGGACAGGCCTAGGGGCAACCGAGGGTCAGCAGACAGGGAAGGTGGGACCCAGGGCCCCCACACCATGGTTGCCACATGGCCCCCGCCTTACCCCAAACTTGGGACGGACCTGGTATTAGAGAGAGTTCCCTAGGGCAGAGTTGCATTCCCCATGTCCCCTCAGACCCCAGGGTAGGGTCATGTCCCCTCAGACCCCTGGGCAGGGCCACATTCCCTCAGGTCTCACAGGAGGGCCACATCCTCCTCCATATCCTTCAGCCTGGTATGTCTCAGCCTGGTGCCTCTCAGCCTGGTATCTCTCAGCCTGGTACCTCTCAGCTGGTATCTCTCAGCTGGTATCTCTCAGCCTAGTACCTCTTAGCCTGGTACCCCTCAGCCTGGTACCTCTCAGCCTGGTACCCCTCAGCCTGGTATCTCTCAGCCTGGTACCTCTCAGCCTGGTACCCCTCAGCCTGGTATCTCTCAGCCTGGTACCTCTCAGCCTGGTACCCCTCAGCCTGGTACCTCTCAGCCTGGTACCCCTCAGCCTGCTGCCCCAAGGAGGAGAGGCCATGCCGAGGGAGGGTGGAGCCTCAGCACCCTCCTCTGTGGGGGGCAGAGCTCTGCGGGGAACTCACTCTGCCGGGGGGTCAGGGCGTCCTGGAGCTCCTCGTGGTCACAGGGGTGGATGAAGTCAAAGATGCTGTGTCCGATGAGCTCCAGCTGCCAGGGAGGGAGTAGAGCTTTCCCAGGGCCCGGCCCTCTCCGCCTCCCCTCGGCGCCCTGGACCACCTCCCCATCTCCCGCTCGCTCATCACTCGCTCACTGACCACTGTGTCTGCAGCACCTGCTCCTGCCAGGCCCTCGTGGTGTGAAAGCAGTGACCACGCAGACCAACCCCGCCCCGAGAGCTGACCGACTAGTGGGCGACAGACAATGACGTGACGAGTGGTGGACCCAGTCACACAGAAACAGAGCAGGGAAGGAGATGCAATCACGGATGCATTACAGGGAGCAGGCTAGACTGTTTCTTCGAGGGGGCGACATTTTTAAAAATTGCTGAACGAAACAAGAGAGGTGTTCTAGAAAGGGGGAAGAGCAAGGACAGCCCGAGAAGAGACGCCATCGAATCACGCCTGTCTGGCATGCCGACTACTCATTTCCATTCAGGAAACAAGGAAGCTGGCTTCCACGTGGTCTACTGCAGTTCGCATCCTGTCCCACAGCCTGAAAAACACTCCAGCCATGTGTGCTTAAGAGCTCAAAGTGCCCACGGGAGTCACTCCCCACTAGGGGTGCTTTCTCCCTCCCCTTCTTTCTGCCTCTCTCTGGCAAAGTGCATGAGCCCTCTGGCAACTGAAAAAAAAAGTCGGGGAGCCATCAGGTGGCATAGAGGTTAAGGCACTGGACTCCCACATGGCCAACTGTGGTTTAAGTTCCAGGCCTGGAGGCTTGAAAATCGGACTGGGTATGTGCATGCATGCCCAAAATCCTGAGAAGAGAATGGAGAAGGGATTGTGGTATGGCCATCTCCCTGGAGGAGGGTGATTTCTCACTTTCCCTCTCTCTGTCTCTGCAGCGAGCACACGTGCTCTACAGCAAACATCTCTTTGAAAAAGTCAATTTAGGAATAGCCCCATGCTGGGAGGAGGGGACCCACGCCAGCTCACAGCCTGGTGCTGGTGATGTCAAGAGGGAAGACAGTACTTGCTCCTCTGACAGCACCTCCTGTGGCTGGATTCGAACCCTGGCTCTGCCACTACCTAGCTTTGGGACCTCCGAACAGTCAGCTCTCTGAGTCAAAGAACTCACATGAACCAAAGTGAGAGCCAGGACTGGGGTAACCAGGCAGGGTAAAGGACAGATGCCAACTATGGAGCCCATGTATGCAAAACAGGAAAAGAATGTCCATCTCCCATGGGGCTTGGAGTAAGGATCCATTAAACTTAGCAGGGCCATCAGGCAGTGTAATGTCACATTGGACTCCCACACGGCTGATCATGGTTTGATCCCTGCACCTGACAAGATGAAACTCACGCTGGGTGCGTGTGCATGCGTGCCTAAGGTCCTGGGAGGAGAATGGAGGAGAAAGGATTGTGGCATGGCCATCTCCTCTGGGGGGTGATTTCTCATTTCTCTCTGTCTCTCAAGCAAGCATACACGCCCGATAGCAAAAAATCTCTCAAAATAAATAGATAAATAAATAAAAATAAAACAAGCTCTCTTTCCCAGACCTCTTTGTCTCTGCTTCCTGCCCCAGCTATCTTCTCCCACTTGAGAATGGCGTTTGCCCTTCGCCCTTGCTGACGCCCCATCTCTGGTCTCACTCCCTCCAGCTCTATCTCCATGCAGCATCTAGAGGGATCTTTCAAAAGTGAAATCTGTTCTACCTCCCTGCACAGTGCCCTGGAGGTAAACTAATGGCTAATTTGGCCATAATTATCTAGCCAGTGCTAACCACTCTAGTCATTGTTGATCACCATAGGGAGTGTGCGCTCACCAGAGACAGAGAATGAAAGGGGGAGTAAGAAATCACCCCCTAGGGGGGATGGCGATGCTGTAATCCTCTCTCCTCCATTCTCCTCTTGGGATTCTGGGCACACACAAACACGTGCCTGGCGTGTTTTTTCAAGCCACCAGGTCCGGGACTCGAACCTTGTAGTCAACCACATGGGAAGAAGCTTCTTAAGCACCATGCCACCTGCTGTCCCCACTCCAGCCTTTTCTGTCTCCACTTCTCCCACCGTACTCCATGCCTAGCCCACAGCACCCTGTTCGATGTCACCTCTGGGCGTTTGTACACTCTGTTCCCTCTGCCATGTAGAGTCCTGACCTTCACCGGTCCCATCCACTCCCCTTCGATGGCTGCGTCCTTTGGGTTTCAGCCCAAATGTCCTCTCCAGGAAGTTCCCGACTCCCCACGGAGGCTGGATGAGGACTCCTCTCAGAGCCCCAGTGCTCCCACAGCGGCCCCCAGGCCACCCAGTACTCCACCCTGACCATTCTGAGTCCTCTTGTCTGATGACGCCCTGTGAGGGAGACTTCAAAAAGTCTGTAGAAAGCTGAATTAAAGTACAAGGTTACTTGGGCACAACAAGTTTTTCAAAAATCCATGCAGCTTTTCACAATGCCCATTTCCCCTGATTTCTGAGACCCCGCGTAGCTCCCTCAGTAGGGCACGTCCCATAAAGGGGGGACTTCCCCAGCGTCACACCAGCACAGGGCCAGGCACAGAGTAGGCAGCTCCTCTCACCTGACTGAGACCCAGGTGTTTGCTGACATTCTCCGACAGGTACGCCATGTCTCCCTCGGCGGTCAGCACCATGATGAAGCCCTCCAGGGCCTTCAGGTAGCAGGCATCCAGAGCTTCTGCCCCTGCTCCCACCTGGCTCCACTGCCCTGGTGCCCGGGGCGGGACGGGGCACCTCTAGTCAGTCGTGGGTCCACCTGGCTAGCCTCCCTCTGCCTTTCCTTGCTTAGAGGAACTCACAGGTACCCCGGGTGAGTTGGGGCACCCCCCATAGGCTTCCTTGCACCCCCAACGGTAGAGGGCAGGGCACCAACCTCTGCAGTTAGGAGCATACCTCCGGGGACAGAATACTAAGGGGGTGGAATCCTGGGAGGTCGACATTCCAAGGGGCCAGGGCTGAAGGGGGTTGGAACTCTGTGTGTGGCGGGGAAGGACCAAGCATCCCAGGGGTTCAGAATTCTCGGAGGGCAGGATCTTCCTGATAGGTGGAATTCTAAGGAAGCAAGAGGCTGAATCTAGGGGCTCAAAAGCCTCCAGGAAAATACCATTCCATGGGGCAGGGAGTGTCATGGGCAGAGCCTACCAGAGGTGACACTATTTCCTCCAGAATAAAATCTTCCCAGGGTGCTGGGGTCCCAAAGAGCGCGTGTGTGCGTGCGTGTGTTGGGGTGTCTATGTGTGGCAAAGCCTCCGGTGGAGTGCAATGCGAACTGGGTAGGAATTCAAAGGCAATAAGCCATAGCACTAGAGGGTTGGAAGGGGAAGAGAATTTTGGAAGGGGAAGAGAACTCTCAAGTATTTAAAATCGGGCGGCGGAGCTTCCCAAGGGTGTGTCTCAGAAGGGGATGCAGCACATCCTTAGGGAGCGGGCAGGCCTGGATTCTATGGACGGCGAGGATTCCCAAGGACCATCCCAAGGGGCGTGGCCTCACAAGTGATAGACTTCTAAGGGGTGGGGCTTCTGAGAGCGCTGGGCTCCGATGGCCTAGAACCCGAAAGGGGCGGGGCCTCGCCGGGAACGGGGATCCCGGGGGGTGGGGCTCTGCCGGGACTCCATCTCCAGGGGGCGGGGCCTCGTCGGGATGAGGTTTTCCAGGCTCCCCCCGGGCGAGGCCTAGCCGAGACCGGCCTTCCCCGGGCGGCGCAGAGGCGGTGCATGCGCAGGTAGCTGATGGTGAGGCGCATGATGGAGGCCTTGTCCAGGTGCGCGCTGACGCCGCGAGCGAAGGGCAGCGTGTGCGCCAGCTGGTACAGCACCTCGGTCTCCTGGCTGCGGCGGCTGCGGGCTGCGTCCCGGGACTTCTCCTTGCGCAGCTCTGTGCTCGACCTGGGGGTGTGGGCAGCGTTCATTGGTGGCGTCCCCGGAAGGGAGAGAGGACAGGACGAGCACGTGGGGCCCTAGCACATGGGGCCCGCGCTCACGCAGGGCAGGGCTGCGGCTGTGCAGGCCCCGCTCTGTGGCCCCGGCCCAGCGAGTTCGGGTGGGAGGATGACACTGTGCAGCCCCTCCTAGCCCCGGATTTTACCTGTCGCCGTGCCAGCCCATGCCGCCCTCCCGGCTCCTCGGCTCCTCTCTTCTCTCCCAGGCGTGCCGAGGGCTGTGCTGTCCCCTCCCTGACTTATCTGCAGTTCATTTCCCGGGCTAGGGACGGACGCTTAGGGGACAGGGAGGCCTCCAGCTGGGAGGGGGCTGGCCGAGCTGGCCCGGAGCCAGGGAGGGAGGGAAAGCGAGGGCGAGGCCTGCAACCTCCCAGAGCTCTCCATTGCCCTTTCCCTCCGCAGTCGAGCTGAGTCTTCAGAATCTTGGAACACGGATCTCAAAGTCTAACGACCCTCCCACAGGGCCTTAAAAAGGCAGGGCCCTGCCAGGGTGACAGGGCACTCCCACCTCAGCATTCTGTCCAGCCAACGGCTAACCACTCATCCCTGCCCTTTAATCCACTTGAAATTCCCGAATTTAGTGCATGTGTGTGGGGGGGGTAAGGGTGGAAGAATGAGTATAGGTTCGTCCGGAACATCAGCCACTCACCCCGCTTTTCTCAGTATGTCAGTCACCGTGCTAAGTGTGTACCTCAATTCCACGTACTGCTCCGACACCCCAAGAAGGAAGAAAGTAACATTATGCCCATTGAACAGACGAGGAAACAGGCCCCCAGAGGTGGTGTGCTTGCCTGAACTCCAGGATTTGAACACTGTTTGAACACATACAGTTCTCTGTCTCTCTGATCCTGGGTTAACTCTAGATTTTAGTGTTTCTCCCTCTTTCTGTCACTGTTCTCAAATGCCAACTCTAGGTCTGTCTGATCCAGTCTCTGTACTCGGAGTTTTTCGTTTCCTTTCGCTAATAGCAAGGGTCTTACCCTGTTGCGGTCTTCCTGCCTCACTCTCTGCCTCCCGGCTGGGACTATTGGTGTGCAGTGACCTTGAGGTGGGGCCAGGAATTGAACCTGGGCCACCCACGTGCTCTCAGGCTGCAGAGCTCAGCATTAGCTACACAGGCCTCCCTGGCTGGCCAACATGTCCATAACTGAATATGAAATTATAGAGAATACTCAATCCAGCATGGCATATGCAGTCTTACCTATGTTTATAATAATGACAAAACCATTGATAAGAAGCAGTGTCGGGGTCCACGGGTGGGGTGGTGGTTAAAGCGCTGGACTCCCACACAGCCAACTGTGGTTCGAGTTCTGGACCTGGCAATTTGAAAATCATGCCAGGCGCGAGTGCATGCGTGCCCAAAATCGCAGGAGAAGAACGGAGAAGGAATTGTAGCATGGCCACCCCTCCAGGAGGGTGATTTTGCACTTTCCCTCTCACTGTCTCTGTGTCTCTCTGATGAGTGCACAGAGACTCATTTTGCCCTGTGGCAAAAATAAATAAATAAAAGACATTTAAGAAGGACATTTAAGAAGGCTGGCAGGTGGCGTGGTGATAATGGGTGCTGGACTCCCACATGGTTGATCACAGTTCAAGTCCCAGACCTGACGGCTTGTTTTCTCATTTTCTCTCTTTCTCTCTCGCTGTGTCCCTCTCTGGTCAAATTTTAAAATAAATAAATAAATAAATAAGGTTAAACAATATAATTCTTTTTTTTCTGAAAGGTTTTTGCTATAGGGCGTGTGCACTCTCCAGGCAGACAGAGGGAGACAGAGAGATAGACAGTGAGAGATCACCCCCCAGGGGGGATGGCCACACCTCAACCCCTTCTCCTCTAGTCTCCTCTCGGGATCTTGGGCATGCACGCACATGTGCCCAGCATGAGTTTAAGCTACCGGGTCCTGGACTTGAACCGCGGTCAAGTACATGGGAGTCCAGCGACATAGCCATTACGCTAACTGCTGGTCCCAAATAATATAATTCTTCTTAAAAAAAGACAAAAGAGAAAGTGTGTCTCTTGCTTGAATCATGATTCGAATAAACAAATAAAAACTAATAATAAGACACTAAGAAAATAACAGTGAGAAGCATGCGGTTTGCTAAGCATTTATGTGTCTGGCAACAGTGCTACACACAGTGCTCCCTCCGTATCTGCCAGGGAGTGTTCCTAGGACCCCCATGGACACCAAAATCCTGGCATGCCCAAATCTCATAAAACATGGAGTTGCTGGGACCAGCAGATGGCATAGTAGTTACATCACTAGACTCACACATATTCAATTGCAGTTCAAGTCCCAGACCCTGCAGCTTAAAACTCGTGCCAGGTGCATGTGCGTGCATGCCCAAAATCCTGAGAGGAGACTGGAGGAGAAGGGATTACAGCATGGCCATCCCCCTGGTGGATCGTGATTTCTTGCTTTCTGTCTCTCTGGCAAGTGCACACACCCTACAGCAAAAATCTCTCTTAAAAAAAGAAAATGGTGGGAACCAGCAGTTAGCGTAATGGCTATGTCGCTGGACTCCCACGTAGTCGACTGCGGTTCGCGTCCCAGACCCGGTGGCTTAAAACTCACGCTGGGTGCGTGTGCGTGTGTGCCCAAGATCCCGAGAGGAGAATGGAGGAGAAGGGATTGCGGCGTGACCATCCCCTCTGGGGGGTGATTTCTCGCTTTCTGTCTCTATGTCTCTCTCTGTCTGTCTGGCGCGCGCACACGCCCTATACCGAAAACCTCTCAAAAAAAAAAAAAATGGTGTTGCTGGGTCAGCCAATAGCATGGTGGCTAAGGCAGCGGGACATTGCATGGTTCAAGTCTTAGATCCAGCAGCTTGGACAACACCGTGTGCATGTGGGTGTGTGCCCAAAGTCCTGAGAGGGGATGGAGTAGAAGGGCTGGCAGTATGGCCATTGCCCCTGGGGGTGCATTCTCTCTCTCTGGGGAGTGCACATGCCCAATAGCAAATTTGTTAAAAAGTCGCTAAAATTTGCATATACCCATGCAGTCAACATTCTCACATGCTGTAAATCATCTGTAGATTACTGATAATACCCAATACTACATAAGTGTATATTCATGTTATATGAATAGTTATACAGGTTTTTATTTGTTATGCTTTGCTACTATTGTTTGTTTTTAGTTTGCTAAAGGGCGCAAGCACTCACAGGAGAGAGAGAATGAGAAATCACCCTGGGGGGTAGCCACAGCACAGTCCCTCCTTCCCTCTTCTCTTCTTGGGATTTTGGGCACACACACACGTGCCCTGTGTGATTATTTTTTTTAGAGAGAGATTTTTGCTACAGGGTGCAATGTGCTCACCAGAGAGACAGAGAAAGAGACATCACCCCCTGGGAAGATGGCCACGCTGAAATCCCTTCTCCATCCTCCTCTTGGATTTTTTGGGGCATGCATGCACATGCACTCCATGTGAGTTTTAATTTTTTTTTTTTTGAGAGGTTTTCGCTATAGGACACTCGCCAGACAGACAGAGAGAGACATAGAGACAGAAAGCGAGAAATCACCCCCCAGGGGGGATGGCCATGCCGCAATCCCCTCTCCTTCATTCTCCTCTCGGGATCTTGGGCATGCACGCACACGCGCCCGGCGTGAGTTTTAAGCCACCGGGTCCAAGACACGAACCGCGGTTGACTACGTGGGAGTCCAGCGACATAGCCATTACGCTAACTGCTGGTTCCCTCCATGTGAGTTTTAAACCACCAGGTCCAGGACTCAAACCATGGTCAGCTACATGGGACTCCAGCAATGTAACCATTACACCATCTGCTGGTCCCAGCCCTGTGTGACTGACTTTCTTTCTTTCTTTCTTTCTTTCTTTCTTTCTTTCTTTCTTTCTTTCTTTCTTTTGTAGAGGTTTTTGCTATAGGGCACATGTGCTCGCCAGACAGACAGAGATAGAGAGACAGAAAGCGAGAAATCACCCCCCAGGAGGGATGGCCACGCCACAATCCCTTCTCCTCCATTCTCCTCT